TAGGTCGGTAGGTAGGTCGGTCGGTCGGTCGGTCGGTCGGTCGGTCGGTCGGTGGGTGCGTGGGTGGGTGGGTGGGTGGGTGGGTGGGTGGGTGCGTGGGTGGGTAGGTGGGTGGGTGGGTAGGGTGTATTTGGATTAAAGAGTGTGAAACAAGCCCTACAGTAATTCTTCAGACATCATCACACCCACCGAAGGAAGTGGGCTGAACGCTTACCGGTAATATATGGTGGTCCAAATGACTAGCCCCGCATAGTTTGTATGAAATTACACTGTTATCCTCCCCAGAACCCTGTTCTAATTACCAAGCCACCCATGGTAGACACTCAACCCCACATCCCTAAACCTTCAACCCCGGAGATAGGATGCTAAAGACACCTGAGCAGGAGATGCAGAGTATGCCCCAGCCTAACCCTAAACCCTCCCTTTAAATCATATTCAAGGGATTCTCCGATTCGTCTCTCTTCAGTCGAGGGGGGGGTAGATGAGCTGTGTGGGGAGCTCCAACAGAAGGGCTTGCCGACACTGAGGCTACCTCTTCCACAGTGGGAAGAGCAGGTGCCTCCGGGATCGTCGAGCTTTGGATTTACGTAGGGTGTCGGGACTCAGGACTGGGTTTGAGTCTTGGGGTTTAGGGTTTAGGGTTTAGGCCTAAACCCTAAACCCTAAACCCTAAACCCTAAACCCTAAACCCTTTAGGGTTTAGGGGCAGGGCTGAATCTGGATCCCGCTCATGAGGCAAACTAGGTCGGCCGCCAGCTCCCCAGAGATTTGGGGGTTTTGAGGCGTCAGCGCTTGTGGTTTAGGGTTTAGGGTTCAGGGTTTAGGGTTTAGGGTTCAGGGTTTAGGGTTTAGGGTTCAGGGTTTAGGGTTCAAAATCTGGGATGCCTTGTTCGGAAGGTCAGGTTTCCAAATAATATAGCGGCCAAAATAGTTGCATATGCTATTTTGGGCGGTTCCAAATGATGATTAATGTATACTGTAATTAATATACCCCGAGACCCTATTCTAAAAATTAAGGCCCCTACATTACCTGCAGCCTCATGTCCTACATTACTGGCGAATCCAGCTACTATTCTAGATGTTTTTGGTTTAGGGCTTAGGGTTTAGCGTAGGGTTTAGGGGTTAGGGTTTAGGGTTTAGGGTTTAGGGTTTAGGGTTTCGGGGTTTAGGGGTTTAGGGTTTAGGGTGGGTTGTAAGATCTTCTGTTGTTCTGCATGTGCGTTTAGGGTCTGCGACTGCGGGAGTTTTCATGTTCTGCAGATCCACAGGTTATGTAATATAGGGGCCTTAACAATTACCTATACTATTTTGGGAGGTTCCTTAATAGTTTTATGGTTTAAAGGAGCCCATAACCCTATTCTAATTATTAAGGCCCCTATATATAATGTAGCGTTTGGGGTTTAGGGTTGTAGGATCTTTTTTTCCACAGTTTAGGGTTCACCTCGCAGGGTTTGTTGCTTTCTGCAAACTCGGGCTTCGGTTAGAAAGTCGTAGGATCTTCCATTCTCCGCAAGCTAGGGTTTAGAGTTTAGGGTTAGTTTAGGGTTAGAGGGTTTAGTTTAGGGTTTAGAGTTTAGGGTTAGTCTACGTAGGGTTGTAGCATCTTCCACTTTCCACGGAACGGGTTTTGGGGCTTGCGGGATCTTCTATTTTCCCTAAACCCTAAACCCTAAACCCTAAACCCTAAACCCTAAACCCTAAATCCTAAACCCTAAACCCTAAATCCTAAACCCTAAACCCTAAACCCTAAACCCTACCGGGGTTGAGAGCCGTGCGATCTTCTGTGTTCTACACCTTTGCTCGCAGGATCCGCAGGGTCTGGTAGACAACCACTGGCCAGAATCCCATTGCTATAGGGGGGGGGGGGGGCCTTAGTAACTACCTATACTCTATTTTTTAGGGTTTAGGGTTTAGGGTTTAGGGTTTAGGGTTTAGGGTTTTGGGGGGGGGCGCCGGGGGGGGGTTCTTAATTAGATACAATTGAAGTATAATATACCCCGAAACCCTATTCTAATTATTAAAGCCGCTACATTGCAAGAGCCGGCGGGAGCCCCAACTTAATGATGCTGACATGAGGGACATAGGGAAATAGCGAACATGGGACGGCGACTGTTGCCACGGCTCTACATGCTCACACGGGTAGCTTCGCTGCAACAGCATTGCTGTTCATAGTACTGAAGTCAGCAGTAGCAGCAAAGTCCATTTAAGTTCGCATTCGCACAGCGATTTCGATAGTGGTTACAACCCTAAACCCGATCCAAAGTATCTGGACGACTCGGATCCGGTCAGCCATCTCTTTTTAGATCTGAGAGCAGCTGTAAGCAGCAGGGTAATGACCATAAGAGTCATGGCAGGATATGATGATGCGAGTTGGCATAGTGATGACGGTGGTAGCAGAGTATAACACAATCTAACATGCAAACAGTCGTCGTCGTCATCGTTGTAGTGTAGTTGTAGTCGTAGTTGTTGTGGTCGCGGTCGTCGTCGTCATAGTCACAGTCACAAGTCACAGCAGCAGTCGTACTTGTAATCGAAGCTGTAGAGGGCGAGTTTGTTGCTAAGGTTAGAAGTATGGGCGCCTAATATGGTCGCTTAGGCCTTTCAAGGGACCCTTAAGGGTACATGTAGGGTATATAGTAGGTGTACAAGTAGGGGCCTATGGCTTCATGTTGTTTCTACCGCTGTCATTCTTGTTGTTGCATCTGCAGTTAACCTACGTCAACCCACCCCATGTGGTGCAGGTGGGTCATCAGCCGCTGCCTTAGCCTGGGATGCAGCGCCAGCGGTCTCTTTCTTCAGAGATTGTCGTTCCGAGTGGCTGATCTATCCTGTGCAGACAGACCTGATGTTGATCTTGCCTCTTTCTGCGGGTCTTTTGGGCTCAAGTCTTGTGCGCTGAGGCCATCAGGTAGTGAAAAAGGTGGCTCGCTGTGATGAGGTGGAGTCTCGTGGGCCTCGTGGCCCTGCTGCTTCCGGCATTGCCGGGGAAAGCGCACCCTGTTAGGGAAGATGAGACATGCCTCACACAGATGGCTACGGGGCGGCAGCGGCGGGGCAGCCCGATCCGCTTTGTGTCGCTCGTCGGAACGGAGGGATCCGGACATCATCTGCTCACCCCAGTGATTCGCAAGATCATGGCCGCAAGCTTAGTGCCGGGGCAAGAAGACGATGTGGATTCTGACCACGAGACGCACTTCGGGTTCACCGGTGCGGCGGCAGACGACTTGTTGTGGTATGCCTTCAAAGGGAGCAACCTCCAAGCCTTTCGCGAGGCTCTGCAAAAGCAGAAGCATGGAGCTTTAGTTCAGCAAGAATACAGTTTTCCATCGGGTGACATGCGTTCTGTTGGCCACCGGTTCTACAACCTGACCGACCTTTATCAGATGTTAGATGCCTCCGGCGTGAAGCAGAAGGCCGTGATCAAGTACGTGCGCCCGATGCCCCAGCGTGCCCGTTCCGTCTACAAGCGCTGGCCCGAACCCTGTGGGCTAAAAAGGGCTTCGGGCTTAGGGCTCATAGGGTTTAAGGTTTAGGGTTTCGGGTTTTGGGTTTAGGGTTTAGGGTATATAGGGTTTAGGGTTCATGGAGATGTTCAAAATCATAGTGGGTTGTCGGGTTTTCCATACGAAGCTGGACTAGTTCTGGGTTCAGGGTTCGTTGCTCCTGGGCCTAGGAACACTGTGGCGGTCAGCTGATGGCTTGCAAAGCAGAGCAGCAGGCGTTTGACCAGCTCATCGAGGGCCACCTAGCAGAGCTCGATAAGATGAAGGTGGCCTTGCTGATAAAGGGGCCTTCATAATTCGAATAGGGTTTTAGGGTAACTTTTTTTCTGTACTTAGAATAAGGAACTCCAAAAACAGTAGTGGTAATCATACTGAACCCTGTTCAGGTTATCGGGGCTTTGGTCTCTGAACTACGACACCAACAAATCCTGAACCCGAAACTCTACCCCCTCAAAGCCGCTAGCCCTAACCCTGAACCCTGGACCCAAGACCTACAACCCCAAACCGAAATCCGCAACCCGAAAGCCCCAAATCCTAAAACGCTACAAAACCTAACGCAGGTGCCGGTGCTCCGGATCGGCATGCACCTCTTTCGGATAGACTGCCACCAGTTCCTGGGTTCTTGTTGAGGAACTTATGACTTAGTGTTTAGGGTTTAGGGTTTTTCGTGTCGTTAGGAGGGCTTCCACAGAGGCTTCCACGGGATGTAAACTAAATTTAGCCTTTTAGGGAGAACATGCTGTCTACTACGTGTCCCTACCATACTCTGGCTTGATACGGCTAGTCAGGCCACATCTGATAAACCCATCCCATAATCTTAAGCCGCAGTATAGTGAGTGCACCCCAGAACCCCTATTCCGACTTCATACTCGTATCGTAACTTGATAGAACCCTAACTTGCATTAGTTTCAGTACAATAAAGACAGCCCCGAAAGAACTTTACATAACACCTGAGACTGAAGGACGCCTCGCAGCCACAGCTATCAAACCCGAAGCTCTAAGCGCTGAGCTCTCTAATAGCCCGCGTGAGAATCTTATATAGAAGTCACGAATCCTTACCAACCTTGTTCTTTCGGGTTCCTCACTAGTGACTACACTGTAATCTATACCAAATTCCTGATCCACTTACCAAGGCCCTACAACTATCAAGCCTTAAACGCTAAGCACTAGCCCAATCAGACCTGATGTTATGATAGATCCACGGTATACATAGGTTAGACTTGCGGTATGTCAACGTTATACCGCGAGTATACTTGCATTCGCTTTTTCTCTATGCCTATATGCAAGTAAGCTAAAATGTTAGACCACTAGTATGCTTAGATTCGACTTGTGTTGTGCTTATATGCATACTACGTTCTACCGACGTTAACCCTCAGAACCAGGCCTACTCTATACCTGCACTATACCTACATTATACTTAGTCACTCCTTCTGCAAGATGTATCCTAAGACCTAAACCCTACAAACCCGAAATCGTAAATTCCAAAGCCCTATAGCCCAAGCATCTACGCCCTAAACCCCTCAACCCTAAACCCCAGACCCTACCACTCTTAACCAGGGAACCCTACACAGAACTCTCCCCTAAACCCCAAGCCCCAAACCTTAACCCCCAAGACCCCAAAACCCCAGACCCTAAACCCTCAACCCCCAAACCCCAAGACCCTAAACCCAAACCCCAAGACCCTAAACTCCCAAACCGCAAAACCCTTGACCCTAAACCGCAAAACCCTTAACACTAACCCCTAAACCCTAAACCCTAAACCCTAAACCCTAAACCCTAAACCCTAAGCCCTAAGCCCTAAGCCCTGAGCAGAGCCTTTCAGGTTCGGCCGAGAAGTCCTTAGCTTCCTTGGGAAGGCCAAGTTGCTACCTCCCGGATCGCCTTACGAGAAGGAGGACGCTTCCTTTATGGTGGAGGGGTTTAGGGTCTAGGGTCTAGGGTGTAGGGTGTAGGGTTTAGGGTTCAGGGTAAGAGGGTTTAGGGTTTAGGGTTTGGGGTGTAGGATTTAGGGACTAGTGACTAGGGTTTACGAGAAGGAAGACGCTTCCTTTGCGGGGAGTATTCGTCGGGTTGCTCTAGGGCTTGATCGTCGCTTTGTAGGTTTTTCTTGGGGGTATACAGGGCCTGATCGCTGTTTTGTTAGTAGCTTTTTTTGAAGCATCAACCTCGAGTTATTAAGCCCTATGCTGAAACTTCCAGTTTTGTTTCCACGGGTTAGTGGTGTAGTGAGAGTTCCGGCGAAGGAGGAACCCTAATGTAGTCTCTGCAAGAATAGTAGACACCACTATTTTCAGAAGAAGCAAGAAAGAAGCCCAAATTATTACGAATACTGTTGCTTAGAGTTCGCCACGTTTGTATGGTAGAATATACTTCAAAAACCCTATACTGAGGACAGCGACGAGACCAAGCACCTGACAGAGGAGGCTTGTGCCCTTGGGAAGACTCTGGAGGAGCAGCGAGATGCGGAGGATGCCAGCCATGCGAGCACGACGACCTCGGTAGATGGTAGATGAGCTTTTTACAACCTCAACTTCACCTTTAACGCTTTCCCGAAGGGATTGGTGCAAAAAATGTCCTGGTATTTGTGCGCTTGTTTGAAGGGTTTGGGCGGGTTGATCTCTTTCTCTCTCTCTGTCTGGGCGTCTCTCTCTCTCTCTCTCGATATCGATCTTTCGGGCTGTGGTCGATCTAGTCCGTCTCGCTCGCTCTCCCTCTCTCTCTCTCTGCCCTGTTCCCGCCGATTGCATCACTATGCCCTGCGTCTGATGTAACCCTGATCCGAAAACAAAATAATAACCAGAGTAAGAATAGTTGTAACCGGAGCATTACATGAAAGTAGTAGCAAGTATAGTTGTGATAGCAGCCAGAAACAGCTATTTATTAAAGCAGTGCATAACACTAAGTCTTTTGTTTAGTTGTGTTATCGTCTCCTTTTCTCTTTCCTTGCTCAATCCAAGAGGGGCCTTGATGACCCCTCATTGGAGGCCGAGGTCGTTCAGACTGATGCCCACTTACCGGCCTTTCAGGCCCGTCAAATCAAAAGTATTTCTCCGGGCCTTCATAATTAGAATAGGGTTTTGGGGCCGATCTATACTATAATCATCATACGGAACCCCGAAAATAGTATTGATAATTGTTTAGGCCTTTACATTAACCGGAACTTCCCGAATGTCCCGCATCCCATACATGTCGAACTCCTCCTTTCTTCGGCCCTCCTCCAAGCCTCGATGCTAACACAGAGGCGTATTATAGAGGCCTTCATAATGACCAATACTACTTGGAGGGGTTCCTTAATAATAATTATAGTATAACATACCCCAAAACCCTATTCGAAGTATTAAGGCCCCGACATTATGTAAGTCGTCTTCTTGGATTTCAGCCGTGTGCAGCCTTAGAAGTTGGCTACAGCCAGACTACAAGACACCCATGACTAGTCGGAAGCTCCACGGAAATCTTATGCCCGACACCCCAACATCCCAAGACCCCAAAATCCAAAGCCCTAAACCTTAAGACACTGCCATTGCAGCAAGGGTCCCTGGAGATCAAAAACACCTAATCCTCAACTCGCACTAGTCCCTCGTGGTAAGTCAGTGCTACTGCATCAGGACTTACCCGACCCAAACCTGCAGCCCTGCACGCCGTAACGAGGCAAGCAGATCGACGATGGGGCCCACTGCTGGGCCTACTGCCAAAGTGATGCAGGCAGAGAGCTCACCATCGTTCGGGCGAAAGGAAGCGTCCTGAGCCCCACCCCCTCCCCAATCTATTTACCCACAAGGTCAAGATTGCAAAGCATGGCGTCGATTAAAAGGGGTGGGCGTCGGAATAGTTAGGCATGCTCGGAATAGTCAGGCATGCTGTTCATTTATTGTCCTTCACATGGGTAGTTCTCTAAAATAGTTTATAAAAAGGACCCCCCCCCCCCAAAAAAAAAAAAGAAAGGACCCTATCTTAGAGAGCTACCCAGATATTTCATGCTATACCACATCCTAAACCCTAAACCCTAAACCCTAAACCCTAAACCCTAAACCCTAAACCCTAAACCTCAAAGCCCTATTGTTTTTTGCTGCCCCCCTAGTAGAAAGGCGCTGGGTCAGCAGCTTTGGGCGCTCTCTCCGGCCCTATTCTTGAACTAGGTTAGAGGTTTAGGGTTTAGGGTTTAGGGTTTAGGGTTTAGGAACTAGTTTAGGGGTTTAGGGTTTAGGGGTTTAGGGTTTAGGGAACTACCTCAAAGACCCCAAGACCCCCAAAACGCCAAAACAGCGCTACAACGCCAAGCAAGACCTAAACCAGTACGGATTTAAGCAAAGCATAGCCACGCACAGAGAATCCCTAAACCTTAAACCCTAAACCCTTTTCACGATGCTCCTAAACCCTAAAACACCAAACCTGCATGGGTAGTTCTGTAAATTAGCGGTCCTTGTTATCAGGGTGCCGTGCTATATCTTGGGGACCCAAAAAGGGGACCCTCATTTCCGGAACTGCCCAAATCCTAAACCCAACGGCCCTAAACCTCAGATCGAACCCAGTCGAAGGCCAGGATCCATCAGGCTGTACCCCGAACCGCAAACCCTAAACCCTAAACCCCAAACCCTACTAAACCCCTTACCCTAAACCCTAGACCCTGAACCCTGAACCCTAAACCCTAAACCCTGCGCGCTAAACCTTGAGCCCTAAACCCTAAACCGTAAACCCTGCACCCTGAACCCTGAACCCTGCACCCTAAACCCTGAACCCCAAACCCTGCACCCTAAACCCTAAACCCTAAACCCTGCGCCCTAAACCCCACTCGAAGGCCAGGACCCATCATCCTGTGGTGCTTCCTGGATCTGCTGCGATCAGGAGAGGCCTTCTCTGAAGGTAGGGGCAGGAAAGGGTTTAGGGTTTAGAGTTTAGGGTTTGGGGTTTAGGCTTTAGGGTTTGGGGGTTTAGGGTTAATGGGTTTAGGGTTTAGGGTTTAGAGATAGTATCCCTGTATCGTGCCATATAATGTAGAGCTGTAGGAATAGAATGTACTCTATAGAACCCCTTCAACTACAGGGAGGGTTGCTATGGTGCTTTTAAGGCCGTTCCGTGGTACAGGGTTTTGAGGCTTTGCTAGCATTAGGGCTTTGCATACTGTCATGAGGGCTTAACTCGAGGCTTTCAGCACTTCGGTTTCTCTCTAGGGATTCCTAGAAGGGATCCTCAAAGGGTTTCCTAACAGGGTTGCCAATAGGCTTTCCTGTGGGTATCTTTAAGGGGCTTCTACAGGGTTTCACGTATGTATGTCTGCATGCATGAATGTGTGCAAGTATGTATGTATGTATATATATATATATATATGGTACCCCCCCCCTCATGTATCTACCGTTTGTC